AGTAGTAGTAGTAGTAGTAGTAGTAGTAGTAGTAGTAGTAGTAGTAGTAGTAGTAGTAGTAGTAGTAGTAGTAGTAGTAGTAGTAGTAGTAGTAGTAGTAGTAGTAGTAGTAGTAGTAGTAGTAGTAGTAGTAGTAGTAGCAGTAGTAGTAGCAGCATTAATGGAAGAAGTGGCGGTTGCCACGACGACAGTGTGAATTCATCCTTGGGGATTGATAATACAACACTGCCAATCACCATTATTCTGTGTTATTTTATTAGTATAAGGGGTCAGGAGCGAAGCTTACCGTTAATGACAGTACGATTCCGTTTGGGAGAAGGAAGTCGTGCCGGAAAACCTCGGCATCAAATTCCTTTGCAGTTGGGGACATGCGTCAACGTAGTTAGTCGAAAGCCCTTGGAGAATATGTCAGCTGTAAGAAATGGAAAGTATTAGTGTCAAATGAGAACGAACAACGTGTGCAATTTTATCGTCAAAAGACCGGAATGGAGGGTAGGTTTCTGACAGCAGAGGCAATCGATCGTGAGACCTGGGAAAGTGTTTGATCGGAACTTTTTAACCTGTTAGAAAAGCTATCATGGGCTAATTTTAATGCAGGATGAAGCAGCGGCCTCTCGGAGAACACAGTACATTAAAACTATCAAACGAGATTGACGAAGAAGTCGCTATCTATGAATATACGCCTCCTAAACAGCGTTTGGTGCCGAGTTCTAGTGCCGTGACATATTAAGTCACGATGTAAACATACACAAAAGTCAACTGGTGTTGCTGAATGAAAGGGTTAAAAAATCAACAAAACTGAGATTTCACAGTTCCCAAATTAGTGTCACATGAGACCTGCAGCAGGCCTAAGCAGAAGAACTCTCGAAAATTACACAAGTGAAGAGTGTAGTGAAGAGTGTCCATACCTGTTAAGCATGAGAAAAAAAAAACAAATAAGTGGAGGCTCGTTTTAACGTTAAATAGGACAAAAGTCTGCCTGTATAAACTAATTCACGTTCAGTCATTTATTCATGCGTTGCATCTACGGAAGAGCGGCTAGTGCCCTTGAATCCGCCAGTATGAGTAAAAATAAAACTGCGAAAGCTAGAAATCAAAGTAAACGGCAATTGTTATAAAACTGTGACTACATAACTAACAATAGGTATACCTACCAGCCACGTATTTCTCAAGCCAATAACCGCCCAGTTTTATTGGTGCGTCTGGCACTACAACATCTTCGGACAGCCCGTTTCAGGCGATGACGGCTCTCTGCGGAAGGAATTGCTGACGGTGAGCAGGACGTCCGAAGGCTCCTAGGAGTTTGAAAGTGTTCAGGCGAAGAGTGCTGTACCTCGCAAATACAAACGTTTTCGAATCTCAGGGCCCAATCTAGTCTCCTAGCTGTCTGTTGCACCTGGATAACATAAATTTGGTCTTGCCTGTAGACTAAGCTGGGAAAGGTGAACGCAGTAATTTAGGGGCGCCATCCCTATATTCGCAAATGTCAATGAATGAACGGTCCGCATACATTTTATCAGAAAAAGCCCGCTAACTTGCTGTTTTGCAATAGTTTGAGAGATGAATTTATTTTGATTTTAATATGTATTGTTCACTGACATTCCCAAGTAGTCTTCACGAGACGATCTTTTAGCGAATATCAACGTCTCCATTTGCTGTCTTTGCCTGAGGCTTTGATATGACGGAGCTTCTGGCGCTAAACTTAATAAGCCATGCGGTAGGCGTCGTTGCGTTGATATCGGGTTCGTTATTATCAGGAAAAACA